ATATATTTATATTTCTGAAAGGACATGCACCAAATGTTATTATTATTCATGAACATTTTTTAGGGTCAATAAAAAAGGGGCTATATCATAATTTTAAATGGCTGCATATTATCCCATAGGCTATACTGTAATTTCTTCAACCAATTCTCAAGCCTGTATTGTTAGAGCTAGAGATTGTTTCAAATTTTTCACTGTTGTATAGGCAATGATGTCATTTTATTGGTATCTTCAACCCTTCCTTAAGAATTTGCCCCGTTCACAGCCTTGGAAGGGGCAGGCCCTGTGACCAAGGTTACACTATGCAGGCATAGTTCATTCATTGGTATTGAGTGACCATCTCCCTAAATGTCAGTCCAATTCTCTTCCCAAAGCTCTGAAGTTGGTATCAGAGACCAAAACAGACTGAAGAGCCTCAGTGGGGTCAGGGACTGAGCCTGCCATTTAGAATAAGCCTTCACAGGCCACATAAAAGCAAATGATTAAGCTGAGAAGACAATTGTTGGACACGAAAATGATACATTCAAGAAAAGAAGAAACGAGAAACTGCAGGGCCCAGGAGAAAAACAGACACAGAGAGGCTGCCTGACCACTTTCTAATTCCCATGAGGTCCAACTGTGCTTCCTGCAATTGGATTCTGTATGATTCCTTTTATGTCCTGATAATAAGCTCTTTCTACTTTTTGGTGTGAAATATGTCACACACATGAAACATTCCATGAAAAGCAAACACAGCTAAAAATATTAATACCAATACCTGTGTACTCATAACTAGGTTAATTATTAGTACTTTAGAAGTCCCTTGCATAATGCCCCTTACCAATCATATCTTTTATTCTGAATTTTGAGTAAATTATTCCCTTGTTACTCTTTATATATTTTAATTATATTAATTACTACTGTGTAAAAACTTAGAAAATTTTAGATATACACAAAATTGGAAAATAGTGGGATGAAGACTCATGTACCATTATCTTCTCAACAATCTACACCTTGTTTTATCCATCCCAGATCTCCTTGCCCCACCACCATACCTACAGTGGATTATTTAAAGCAAAGCCCAGACATCATTATATCCATTTAGAATATATTTCTAAAGAAAGACTTTTAACATAGGTACAGTATCATTCTCTCTCCTACAAAATTGGCAGTTCAATAATATTATTTAAAACTCAGTCCATGTTCAAATTTCTCCAGTTGTTTCACAGATTTTTTTTTAACAGCTGGTTTGTTTGCATCAGGAACCAAAAAAGGATCAAACACTAAATTTAGCTTATATATATCTTAAGTCTCTTAATCTATATCTTTACACCATTGCTTTTCATTCATTTGTGGAAATAAAAATTAATTTCCCACATTCTGAATTTGGCTGATTGCATTTTCACGGTGTCCTTTAACAGATTCTTCTATCCCCTGTATTACCTGTAAACTGGTCACAGAGCTAGAGCTGTGCTGTCCAATACTATAGCTACTAGTCCGTGTGGCTAAATTTAAATTAATGAAAATTAAATAAAGTATAAAATTCAGTCCCCCAGTCTTGCTAGCCATATTTTAAGTATTCGAAAGCTACAAGTTTCTAGTGGCTACTGTACTGGGCAGCACAGAAACATTTTCATCATCAAAGAAAACTCTTCTGGGCAGTTTTGACCTAGAGGCTTGACTAGATTCAGGTTCAATTCTTGCAATAATACTCCAGACACGGTGCATGTGGTTCCTATAGCATCACATCAGGAAGCACATAACAATCGCTTATCACAACTTTAATAATGTAAAGATTGATTGTTGG